ACGACGTTGAAGGATCCACAAAAGGTTTTTCTGTGCGTGGACAGACCCTGCAAATTGGCTCCTTGACAAGCGAACGTGCTGAAAACACGAGCTACTCCAGACCTGCCTCACTCAAGCTTGTTATGGGATATGAAATAGAGATCACTCAGGGCTCCACAGCCAAAGAAACCTCCCATGCCTTGACCTTCTCGTTCAGCTCCACAAGCTGTCCGGGTGTCAGCTGATTCTTGCCATCATGCACCTGGCATGAAGTTCACACGGATCAGATTTAGAAGAGGCCCACTTGTGGGAGGTGCACGGAAACCTGGAGCCGAAGTAAGTCCTGAGCCTGCGGGCATGTCATTTGGGAAAATATGTTTGCCTTACTAGCAGGCCATCCAATTCCAAGCCAAGCGGAACCCTGCCCCTCAGTACCAAATTGGGCATTGCGAACACCGTCCAAGCCTGCCATCGCATGCACACCAATGCTCAGTTTGCTGAAAAACCCCTTGGCCCGACTTCAAACTCGCGCAACGCATGGCAAGCCTTTGGATTTGACTCGACATGGCCAAGTATCCCTAAAAGACTGTGTGGCTACCTAAGAATACTTGGCGCTTTTGAACTACTGCATCCGTAAGGAAAAACATAAGCCTCATCTTTGTATCTCTTTCTCCGCATGCCCATGGCACTGTAGCTCATACCAAGCAAGCTCTCACTTTGAGGAAGCAATAGCAACAAAAAACAGTACAGGCCAAAACTGTGTGTTGTTGCTTGACTTGTGTAATTGGAATCAATGCTTCACAGGTACTCTGCAGTGTGGTTGCATCCAAGATTCAATCGGCACCTGACTGGCAAAGAAATTGCCAGCCGCTTGCCTAAGGCCAGCTTTGCATTCCCAAGTCTCCTAACTTCTACCAGGCGAATCCTGCCCACTGGCAACACATACATCTATTGAAACGCAGGTACCAGCAGATCCAAAACAGGACCAGCCATGATGATACGTAGCCAAATCACCCCATCACGATTGTGCGTGACCCTCCCAGAGACAGTCCTCGCCTTCATCTGAGTAAGCATCTCCTCGAATGGAGCAAGCTTCAGAATGGCGGAAGAATGAGTGGGCAAGTAATAGAAACACACACACACACAAACAAACAAACGAACGAACGAACGAACAAACAAACAAACAAACAAACAAACAAACAAACAAACAAACAAACAAAGACACGCACACACAAACCACGCACGAATGCACGCACGCACGCACGCACACACAAACAACAAAACTCGCACATGAATCACAAACATCTGTCAACACGGGCACGGCTTCTTGGCCGAATGTCCTCGTGCTTCTTCAGCGCCGAGCGCCGCTGCGCCTCCGTGGGATGCGCCGTGAGAACCAGCTCGATCTTCTGGCTGACGATGGCCTCTCGAGCGGCTCCCACGGCTCCGGCTCCACACCCCATCAATTCAAAAGTCTGGCGGCATCCATAGAATCCAGCCGGAGGTTTGCGCTTTACTTCCGGAGCTTCTGGTCTCCATGTGTGTGTGCCCCAAAAAACGCTTTTGTCCGACATTGGCAGGCCTGCCTCACGGATCTGCTTTGGCGAGCATCCCTTCTGCACCAACTTCCTCGGGAACGGGACATGCTCGGCTCGCATGGGCTGCATCATCAAGGCACTCGTCTAATTCCCTTCCTGCTGAATGCAATGTGGTTGCCTTCCCACATATTTGAACCCTTTCTACCACCTTTACAGCAGGGGCCTCCTGTGACCACAACGCCGAAGCACCGACGATATCCTCCAGTCGCATCGTCTCTGCTATTTATTTCAGACATCCCGAGCTCCCCCGACCAGCAGAAAGAGAGCACGAAAGGGAAAGGCGAGAAGGCCCCCAGGATCGCATTATGTCTGCAGAAACTTGATTTCACGTCTTCTGCAATGACTTCCTGAGAATAACCTGAAGCAACCGCTGTCACTTTAAAACGTGCTTGGACAGCTGTCAGAAATGCTGTCCCTGCACCCACAATGACAGGAATCATCGACACCAATCAAAACAGCTGCTAGCAGATGCTGCAATGCCAAGACACTTTCACTGACCTGGCACCTTGTTCGAACTCAATGCATGTATGGTAAAGTGACACAAAGGGAACCTCGTTTTCACAACCGTCCAGGAGGCCATGCAGGCGTCCTATCCACTTGCCATCTTCGAATCGAGCGGCTCAAAGGTTCCCTTGAAGCTCACCACTGATGAGTCCTCCATCAAGCGCGGGGCGAGAGGCGACGCCTACTTGGTACCCCATGTCCCAAAAGGCAACTGGAACCGAGGGGGAAAATGAAAGCAAAGAGGCTAAACAGCGGTCTTTTCCTGCTTGCGAACCTTGGGGTCGGATGGGGGCACTTCATCTTCGCAACCCTCGCCCATCCTCGTTGTTGCTGATCTCCTGCACCTCCTGCGACACGGACTTGTTGAATGTGCGCAGCCTGTGGTGCGCCTCCGCCAGTCCGGCCTGCAGAAACGCAGGCCTCTTCAGCCGGGTTACTGTGATTCTCACCCAAAAAGCATACCATCGCAGCACCAACGAGGGTCTCTCATGTGAACACGTCCTGAATTAAGTGTCTGCAGATTTCGCGAACTATCCTTTGCCCTTGCCTGGACAAGGATCTCCTGCAACACACGGCCTCAGCACAAAAGCAAAAAGAAGCAAGCGTGCAATTTATACTTGTTGCGAAACTGCGTGGTCCGTTGCTCTCTGGCACGAAAATCTCAAAGTCTAAGGTGTGCTGGGAACCATCCAATAGACTACGTGCGGTTGGCCAGTGAATGGAAACAAATCCGGAAAACTGAGCCAACAAAGGCTCCAATAAGAGAGCCAGCTGGGCCATGGTACGGCAACCAAGGACTTCTTGTTGAAGGAACATTTTGAGCCATCGCAACTCTCACTGAAAGGGCCACAAAATGCTGGCAGTCCACCGAAAGGAGCTAGAACACACGTTCTATGTAAAACATAGACTGATCCAGTGGCGATGCTCTAATCGGACGCCCAAAGCTCTGGGGAGCCCTGCCAGAGACCATCATCTCCTGGCACCACAAAGGCACCGACCAAAATTCCAGCAAAATGGGGTACAAAATCAGCCAAAACACTGCATCTACGTCCAGCGGTGGAGTTTTTGCAGTGCGCAGGGGCAAGACAGCTCCCATCGCAGGCAAGTCGCATAGTTATCCATCTTCTCCACCAATTCCACGAGCTTGACAAAGGCTTCCGGGCCCTTCTTGCGGTAGTCCTGTGCCGTAGTGAGGGGTCGTTGCACTGCCCTTTACTCGGCCTTTCCATTGGTCCATGCACAGGCTCTTTCCTCACGGTGGGCAAAGCTATGCGATAGCAACGTGTATCTTACTGCTGGCAAGCAACCTGACTCTGTACATGTTGGTGTGATTGGGATTGGAGTTGTGGGTTTGCGTTCAACCTGCTCTGAAGAGTCAAGGACTCTAAACCTTCCAAAGAAACCTTGGCCCATTGTGTCCTCTGCAGAGTCCAAAAGCTTCAGTGCAGCTTTAGGCAGCAGCACGTGCTCCTGCATCTTGCCGTCCGTGTCTCCTCGGGCAACACGACTGCAAGTGGCAACAAGGTGTGGTCAGCTGGTGGAATTGGATGAAAGTAAACATGGCACCAGCTTGGATGAAAAAAACGAGTTGTTCTTCAGACAACTTTTCAAAAATGTGCTCCGCTAGAGATTGCGCCTCAGCTGACTAAGCCGACGAGCGAGATGACTGGACAGCTGAAAATATGGCTGAATAGTTGGCTGGATGGCAGGCCAAATAGGCCTCCTGGCTGCTTTGGGGGCTTGATGGCCAAATAGCGACGCTCGATCCACCCGGAACGCTGCAGGTTCACATGCAACAAATGAAGTCGCTAGTGTCAAAAGGCACGACACATCTAGTTGGTTTGCAGTGAAACCTTTGACACAACCACCTCTCCTACGGGAGCTTAGCTTGAAACTTCACGCAACCCGCCCAAAAAGCGTTGTTTGCCAAGTTCCATTTACCTGTAAGAATCCCAGCAGGCTGGACCCTCCAGCCGCTCGTGCAAAGACACAAATGGCCTGTCTTCGCCGAGAATCGTGGCGAGAAGACGCGCATGCCCTCGTGGGCACGGAGAATCTCCTGGCGGATTCGAATGCCCTCTCTCAGATCTGATCCAAATTGACAGAAGATTCTGCACACCTAAACTGAACTCCATCCAGATGGGTGGAGGCTGAGCAATGGCAGCCGATGTCAAATCTGTGCTTCGCTGTTTCAGCATTGATGTTGGGCCGAAAAGCCGAGGCACCAAGGCGCAGTGACTTTCCAATGCTCTCACACGCATGCTAGGCTCCAGCAAATGCGCTTTCAGCATCTCAAAGTCGCTGAGGATTGTGCCACCCGACATGCTGGCAAGGGTGAGTTCAAAATTCAATAAGGGCAGGACACCGGTCTAAGCCAAATATGCTGCAGAGATGAAGAAGACTCGTGGACTGACATGCAGCAGCACACCAGGCAAAATTCAAGAATCCGCATAGCTCAAAACAGCTGATTCTGATTGATTCTGAGAGATGTCGTGTTGTGCCACCTCTTCGCCTCAGGTATGATATTATATAGTTTTTTTGTGAGCGAGTTGTTGGGGATTGCCACCTGGACGTGCGTCCTTGGCTGCCTGCCAAACCCTCACATGGTCGAGTGCAAAGTCCTGTGCTGATGCTTGCATCCGAGAATCAAACTGTTGCAACTGCCCGGAACAGTGAAGTATTCTGGCCTTAGCAACAACTTCACAGAATGCAACACATACACGGGGCCTGTCGCGAAACATTTCAGAAATGCGTGCAACCACAGAGTCCGCAAGTCATGCAAAATGGCCAACTTTGATACATAATTTGATCAATCATCATCCCGGACCCTGCAAATATGAGAGAAATCCCCCGCCCACACCCCCAGCTTCAACCACCTGCACATCACACGTGCCCTCGGGCGCAATCACGTCCCATTGCCTCCACACTCTTCAGGACAAAGGCGATCGCCTGACGTTAAAGTAGGGGGGTTGTCTGCGTGCGTCTCTGGAAATTAGAAACCCACATGAGTGTAAAACCAATTGTAGGTGTAGGGGTGTCTCAAGTGTTGTCATTGCTTCAGGTCGCTTGGCAGAACAAAAACAACATTCAAGACATGCCAAATTAATGAACTTGCTTGGACACTGGGTGGCCCAACTTTCACCAACACCTTTTAGTGACTGCAGAAGTAAGGCCCACCGCTCCAACCTGCCCAGTTCAACAAAACGGCTTGGAAACTCAGTGCAAACCCCACTTCGTTTCTGAACGCGCAACCCGGACTCACCCCGGCCTGACCCTCCCGCAAAATCAGACATACGCAGTTCTCCTGCAGCGGCAGGCCCGACTCCTCCGCAGCGTCCTGAAGTGAGCAAATGAAATGAAGGCTATGAAAAAGAGGTTCTGCCTTTGGATGGCCGATGGCTTCTAATGCAATTTGGAATATGGCTTTTTATAAGGGAAACTCGGATTCCTGATGATGAATGTTTCTGGAAAATGCTTCGATATAAACTAGGGGCAATGGTTGGAAAGGCACAAAAGCCTCTATGTCTTTCAGGCACTGATCTTTGAACCAAAGGCAATCGCAGTATCAGTATGTCTGGATTTGATTCTACTTTGTGTTGGTGGTTTGGCCGAACCATTGCAAGAGCAGCCGGGCCAAGTCACATCAGGCAGTCAAAAGAAGTCATCAGTCAGAATTCAGTCTCGTTCAAATCACCTTGGGAGTGCCTTCCAATCCAGGCCGCTAGTCAAATGTTCCAAAAAGCTGCGCATGCGTTGCTCCCTCTCGAGCCCCTGGCCGTTCCAACGCAAACCTGGCGAGGCTGGCCCAGCAATGCCGGAGTCCGACTGAGGTCGCCGACCAGGTCGCCAAACCGACTGTGTCGGGGAATGACAAGGCAACACAGAGATCTTTATTGAGTTCATTGCCCAAACCCTGTCAGTCTTACTGTCTAAACGATTCTGCATGCCTCGCCGCTGACGGAAGTGCGTACGTGTATCTAGTTGTAAAGGCGTGCGTGTGGGTATGCGTAAATGTGTGCGTGTGCATGTCTATACAGCACGTGTGTTTGCGCGCATGTTCGCAATGTGTGTGTGTGTAGAAGTGTGCATATGTGCGCAAGTTGTGTGTGTATGGGAAAAAAGAGCATGCCTGTATATATATATATATATTGTATATATACAGGGCTCTACTTTCAGAAGGTGTCCAAACTGAGTTAAACCAAGGGGTAAGGCGAAGTCAAATATGCTCTGACACACTGCCAAAAGCCAACTTTCTAGAACCGACTTTCACACGCATACGACATTTGCACTACAAGCACCGGGAATACGGGAACACCCCGAACTGGGGTTCGGACGGGTGGATTTTTGGTGCCGACATCAGGCTCTAATTTTTGGCGGCACCCCATGGCTTCCCCAGGTCCAACTCAGCTTCTCAAAGCAAATCCAAATCCAAACGAATCCAAGCCACCCCTAGCCGGCCCTCATCCCGCGATACACCGAGACACCAGGTTGAAACGGGTTCTGAAGAGAACCGTGGGTGAGAATTGCAAATACACGGGCATGGGTCAAAATGAAACCGCCAGGAAATGGCTCCCAGGCTTTTTACCAGGGTTCCATTTCGGGTAGCCATTTTTGACCAAATCAACCCTTCTAACATTGATGCCATCAAGCGCGCCACATGCTCCCCGCGTTTCCCGCGCCTCACGCCGCCATGGTCCAAGACTCCATGTCGGGTACTTCCAGGAATGACTTCAACTTCCATTTGGTTAAGACCCCTGGATAAATAAGCTCAGGCGATATTCCCAACAGCATGCTTATTCAGCCACCTGCTTTTACAAAAGGGGATCCTCTAAATTCCCTGAACATGGATGAGGGCAAATTCCCTGGGGATGCAGCTGCGGACTTTTCTTCCTCCCTCCTTTCCGTCGCCCCGGCCTAGCACCCCGCTGTATCTATAGATCGGCCCCTCCGAGGGGCTATCGCTCCGCATACGAGCTTCAGCTTCACTACTTGTTGCCGCGGCCCTTCTCGCGGCCCTTGCGGTTGCCTCCCCGCGGCTTCGCGTACGTCAGCTCACGCCCCGCCGGCAAAGCCTGCCGAAGATCGATCACCCTCATGGCGAGGCTTACAAAGTCACTGCCATATGGGTGGTAGCCCCAGTAGGTTTAAGGGTCGAAATGACATTGGCATGGCCTTCATCGAACTTGGGTGGGGTCAATGTTCAAGTGGCCAAGTGGTCCTCCAATTAACTGCCCGGTCGTGAGTTTGTGGTAAGCTTGGTGGCTTCCCTGACCAACCACGCCGCCCAGGTCTTGGGGATGGCCCCCCTGCGCAGAGCCCCTTGTAGGTCAATGAGGGTTTTCCTCTTCAACCCTTTTGGTCACTTGATGTGAGGCTTGAGATGTGAGGCTTATGCTGGCCTGCAACGACAATTTTCGTCACTTGGATGCGTTTCCTCTTGTGATGTCTATTTTCGGAACAATTCTGGGTGTGTGTGTGTGAGACCAAAACCCCAGGCCAAACCTGGAGTTCTGGAGACTGCATGTTGATCATACCTCTGCCCGGAACGCACGATTTTCTTCACTCTTCCACGCGTTCGCTTACTTGATTGGCCCAACTTCAGAATAATGGCAGCCAGGCCTCGCCAATCCTCCCACTCATCCCATTCGGCCGCCACAGCCACCGCCACGACGACTGCCGAAAGCAGCGCCAGTGCCGTGGCTGCTAGCTACACTGAGGCTACACTTGCTTGAGAGCCTCAGCTGGCAGCGAAATCCGACGGGTCGAAACCGTCCATGCTCCAACATACGCTTTCAACCCAAAGCTTGCACCAACCAAAACAAAGATGCTTGTGTGTGGATTGCTCATATGTGTGGATTGCTCACGATGGGTTGCACAGATTTTCCAAACATGCGGTTCCTACCCAAAGCTTGCAGCACGGACTATGGACTGAGAAGGCCGCCACCCAAAACAATGATGTTTCTTTGTGGATTGCTCAGGGTTTTCCATGCTCCAGCAAACCCCAATACAACCCATCATGAGCAACAGGACCGAGAAACAACACCTATCACCCCTGGGTTTAACACAGAATTCCAACGATTGGAAACAATAGCAAAAGTAGAGCACTGTATATATACAGACTGATATATACATATATATATATATGTACATATATATATATATATATATGTGTATGTGTATGTGTTAAAGTCAAAGCTGTAAAAGTTATTACTTGTGTGTGGGCCAACAGCAATGTAGCGACCGATCCTTTTCCTATGGGCGAGATGTACCTGCATTGTACCAGGGCTCAAGGCCTGGGCGGATGCAGACGGAGTGTCCAGAGTCGGGACACCCCTCTTTGGTTTGTGTTTCGCACCTCTTGGGATTTCATGCAGCGCATGTCATGTATGCAATATATGTAATATAAAAGTTTGCAATGTATGGAATGTATGTAATGCATGCAATGCATGTGATGTAAAAATGTGTAACGAAAATAATTCATGTAATGTATGTATGTGTGTAATGTAGGTGATGAATGTAATGCACGCAATGTATGTAATGTGTATAAATTGTCACATGAGTGTGATGTGTGCAGCGTGTGTGTGTGTGTGTAGTGTGCAATGTGTGTGCAATGTGTGTAGTAAGGTGTACTCTATGCAATGCATGTAAAAGAAGCAGGTGATGTATGTGATGTATGTGATGTATGTAATGTACGTGATGTATCTAATGTATGCAGTGAGTGCAATCTGTCTACTGTATGTAATCTATGTCATTTAGATAATGTATGTAGTCTATGTAATGCAGATAATGTATGTAATGTGCACATAATGTATGCAATATATGTAATGTGTGTGTATGTATGTATGTATGTATGTATGTATGTATGTATGTATGTATGTATGTATGTATGTATGTATGTATGTATGTATGTATGTATGTATGTATGTATGTATGTATGTATGTATGTATGTATGTATGTATGTATGTATGTATGTATGTATGTATGTATGTATGTATGTATGTATGTATGTATGTATGTATGTATGCATGCATGTATGTATGTATGTATGTATGTGTGTGTCTTTTTGTATGTCTGTCTGGTTGTGTCTTTCTCTCTGTGTGCGTGCATATAGTGCCTGCCTGTATGTCTGTGGCGTCTGCAGGCTTTGGGGAGGCATTGCAGATGCAGACTTGAACATGCTCCCCACCCCTTCGCTGCTGCAACGCAAGAAGAACAACCAAAGCATCGAGCAAAAGTCAATGGTTGAAATTACCAAGTCAAAAAGCAGTCATCGCAACAAACCTCCACGGCCAAATGATTTTGCCTGCAGGTTGCAAAATACTGGATTGGGCCAGTGAACTGCTCATTTCCGCACCTGCTCCACCGTGTCTAGCGCCAGCGCTCGTCTCTTTGACTCCTGAGCTCAGCGAGCTGCTGATAGCCAAAATCACAGGCGGGTTGGGGTGGTTGCACCATCATCTCCCGGGCAAGCGTCCAAAGTATTTGCTACTCATTCCAGGTGGGCCTGGAGTCCAAAGCTACTTTTCATGGACCCGAAACAACCCATGCAATGTGAAACCTGTCACACACTGCCAGTACGCCGGGGGCGAGACAGAAATGAACCTCTGAAAGCATTTCACGACACGGCTAGAAGGACCGGAAGAATGTCTGATCAACAAACCCTGTTGACCAAACATGAATCATGAACAGCTTGAGGAAACCCACAACAAGGAGTCCAACGGTGGATGTCCTGCTATGCTCCTCATTGTCACAGCAAACATATTCCGGAGCAGCCAGTGAGGAATAGGCAACAAAAGAAGAAAGCAAAGGCGAAATCATGATAAAGTCACTACGCAAGAAGGGATACAAAATAAAACATACATGTCTTTAAGTGGGTTGCCGTTTGAGAATGACTTCAGTGTGAGCCATGCGGCTCGGTAAGAGCTTTGCCTGTCCCCATCTCACGCATGTGACCCCCCAGCAGTACAGCTCGGATCTGGCTCCTTCTTGCCCAAGCGTTGTATCACCATGTAGTGGAGCTGGCAGCGCCCAAAGCTCGAACCAAAGCCCACCCAAGCACTTGCTGCCTCTGTTGGCCTGGTGGAAATGCCATGATGCTTTGGCTTATCTGTTGGCTCCTGGACAGCTTCTGCAACAAACTGCTTTGCATCTCATGCCATGTTCTAGGACAGACCAACCGTTCCAATGCTACTGTGATACTAACGCTGGGCTCTAGCCCGGTCACCTGGTCTAGATCTTCATTGCAACACGCATTCCCTGACATTGACAACCTTCACGAAAAAAATAACCTGGCATCCTGTTGGGCACCCATTGCAAATAGCAAACACACATACAATTCTCAGATTGGCCGCGCCGCTCCAAAGAGGTAGTCCATCATGTGTACGGAGATTTCACCTCTGGTCCTTATAAAAGAATAATGAACTGGAAAGCATCAAAATTGACGCCTCTTCGCCCTAGTCTAACAATGTCTGACCAAGGGTCAAGTTTGAACAATCGTGGTGGCAAAGACAATGCGAAAGACTAGTCATTACCCAGAACGTCCCTTGCCGCAGGCAGACTAGCAAGTGTTCATTGTAGCACAGCTCTGCTCCAAGAAGTGATTTTGCAATGCCAAATACTGCGCAAAATGCCAAGGTTGGAGCCGTGGAGGTGGAATAAGTGCAAATGGAATCTATCTTGCACAGTCCGGAACTATCTGACCAAGAAGCACCACTCAGAAAATGCAGGGACGTGGGCACAAAATAACAACCTTCGCAACCCAACGGTGGCAGCGCTGAGCAATACATTGCTTCCCCAAATACAGAAAACCAGCTACGACATGTACAACCTGCCGACTAGCATGTCCCAATTGTCTGGTTGGTAAATGCCTGATCTGGATCCTTGCATGTTGCGGAATTCGAGCGAAGACGTTCTGGTTCACCGAAGAACGCCGTATGTTGTAGGAGCTACTGAAATTCATCGGCATTCTGTCGCGTACTTTTTCGAGGGGAAATACAAGACCTGAGAAATTACGGATAAGATTGCGTTGCTTCCAGCGGGGGTTGCAGTTCAAGAGTGGCACCCACTAGAATCGTTGCAAAGTCTTTCAGCTAACGCAAGGCGTACGTACACAAGAGAGCACATCAGCCTTCCAAACAACCAACTGCAGGTTCGGGAAGAAGCTTTGGGTCGGCAACGTGTAGTATCCTTATAAAACACTTGGAAACGCTGGCATGCAGCACAACACAACAGGTGCACAAACCCGAAGCCCAATGACATGTTTACTTTCATTCCCCAGCCCCCACCCCCGAATCTCGCCAGCCCAAATAATAGAAGCGATGAATCTCCCAATCTCCATACATCCTCCCAAACTGTCTCAGCCGAAAAAGACAACATAAGGAAAGTGACGTGGCATTCTACACACCTCGCACCTAGTCATGCAATTCCTCCGTCTCTATGCCATAGAAAGACTGTGTGCGACATCAACAGCTATCAAAACACAAAAGCACAGAGTCTGTACAGCTGAGGTTCTCAGATGTGGCACAAAAACTAAGAAAAGACTTTGCATCATGTTCAACCGAGATGCAGCCACCAGAGACCCCCAAGCCAACTCCCAGCCCTGCCTGCTTATCCATCGCCACAAAACATTCCACCGCATTGCCATTCAAGGCTAACACGGGAAGTGTCCTTGCAAAGACGAGCTAAAGCCATGATCTTGCGCACAATGAAAGCGAACTGCCATTAGATTGAACGCAAATTGAAGACTTTGTCTGTTGCATGTCTTCCTATGTCCTGCCCCGCACCAGGTCTTTGGTAATAGTCCCAATGGCCTGCGGCAAGCCAGCAACAAGAACGAGGGATTTATGTGGATGTCCCTCAACAGTGGCTCCCTTGGCAGCGAGTGGTCAAGGTTGCTGAGCCAAATGTCAATTCGGCACTTGACAATATGCTGCTGGGCAGCACCGCTTCTGGTCAGAAAAGTGCAGCCGTCTTTCTTAGCTGGCTCATCCGGCTGGCTCAAGCGCGCCTGCTGGCACCCGGACTTCTTCGGAATCTCGATGGCTTCGTCCTTTCAGGAAAATTTCAAGGGACTTGGCATTTCGTGGCTGCCACTCTGACGACATGCTCCAAAAACAAATGATAGATCCCAAATCAAATGGATCCTATCGAACGGTTGCAGTCAGTCGAGCTGCTAGCTTCTAGCGCTGACCTCATACATCCAACCTCAAGAAAACCGTAGACCAGGAATGAGTGGTCAATGTGGAAATCTTTGAAAGCTACCACTACCCAACTCTTTCCATCCAGGCATGCGGTCTCCCCAAGTCTCCTGCAAGATCCCGTGGTGAAGCACTAGCCCTGGCTGCACCGGAGGCAGCGGGGGCATCTGCAAAGGCGCGCAACTTTCCGGTACGTGTGTCTTTGCATGTCTCTCTGTGTGCGTGTGTGTGTGTGTGTGTGTGTCTGTGTTTGCTTCCCTGTGTGTCTCTGTATCTGTGTCTGTGTGTCTGTGCGTGTGGGTTTTTGAGGTCACCGCTTTCACCCTGGTTTACGGCAACTGGAAACCAAAAGGAAAATCACCATTTTGGCGAGGTGCCTCCCAATTTTGAGTCATACCCATATTGATCATTGCTGTTTTGATTCTGATTCTCAAACCTGAACCGATAGCCTGGATCAGCCTTGGGACATAGAATTGAAAGGTTGCTCAATCACAACGGGTTCATCCCAGTCAGAGCTTTTCACCATCTAGGTGGAACGGAAGCGCCATCAACAAAGACTGGCAAAGGAAGGCGTTGCTGCCAAAGCTGTCAAACGCACGCGAACACCTGCCGCAGCACCATCCGGCAGCACCTTCCGTTTAAAGGAGCTGCAGGTTGCTTGGGCTGGGGTCTTGGAATCCATCACGCATGTCGAGCCTGCGAGCCCCAGGTGGAGGAAGTGCCCTCTGTGACCTCAAAGCTCCCGCAAAAGTCGCTGCAGTGCCAAGGGGAGTGGGTCTCGATAAGTTGTAGGGCCTCACTCCCCATATGTTCATGCGTGCGAAATGAAAGGTGTGGAAGCGACTGGTCACTAAAAATGGCACAGCCATCGGGCCCAAAAATTCTTCGTTCGGGCCATGCCACGCCCTTGGAGGGCACCCGAGTGAGGTCTCTCGCACCCCGCTCCTGCGACGAGGTGGAGCACGTGCCCTCCGGCGTGGCGGTGGCCTGCAGGGCATTACGTATGAATATGAATATATATATATATATGTATATATATATATAGGTATATAGATGGATGCACATGTGTGAAGTTGTATGGTCTTCCTGGTGTGCAAATTTATGTGTGTATATATATATATATATATCTTTAAACTTCTCTCCCCCCCACAATGACGAGCACTTTTCATTGGTGCCGGCCTCCTGAATCATATTTAACTTAGTGCTGGGGAGCTTTCAAGCGCCTCAAAGCCGTTTTGGGGATACCAGCAGTGGCGCTATAGTACCAGAACACTGATCCATTGATCTTCTGATCTTAGGCTCACCGCGGGAGGGGGGGGGTGCTGGGGGAGCTTTAAAGCATTTCAAAGCTCTCGGGGGACCAAGGGTAAACGGCGGAAGGCTGTTTGGGGACTTCAGCGAAGCCTAGCATTAAAAAGGCTGCGCCACTGAGCCACTGATCTTTGTATTTCGGCTCTGGTGTTACGGGGGAGCGAATCATATGCATGGGAGCTTTTGAAGCGCTTTGAAGCTTTCTGGGGCTTTGCTCTGGTTCCAGTACCGGTGTAAACAAACCTCGTTTTTTGGGAGATGAATTTGTCAAAGTCCGTCGATCAGTTGTTGGAATCGCATGATTCTCCATTTGCTCAGATTCACTGAGACTCATTCAATCCATTGAAACCTCTACAACTCATGTGGGGTCAATATCGAAGAGGCCACATTTCAATTTTTTTGCCCTGGTTTTACTTCAGCGCGTGCCCAGTTTTCTGAATCTCCTGGTACTTGGAGTGATCAGAGCAATCTAAAAAAAAAAACAGGCAGGGAACCAACGGATTCTAGGGGCAGATTAGTCGATGTGCCATCTCATGCTCGCTCCACAAGATGAGGGATCATGTACTGACCAGGAACATCCAGTCATGCTGTGACAAAGGATTGGGTGTTGCCGCCATGCCGTGGATTGCCAAACCCTCCACCAGTTGAGATGGACGAGACCCTATAAGTGCCGGCGCAAAGCACCTACTAACTGGTGCAAGATTTGGTGCATCCACAGCAGTGGCTTTAGCAACTTTGTACGATTTCTCTCTGAGTGCTGGCTGTTTCTCTCAAGGTAGACTCTCATCGTCGTGCATGAGCTGATTGCTCTTCAACAATAAGCATTGTTTGCAGGAGTTCCCAATACTGGCAGTCTCTCAAAGGTGTACCATTAGACCCTTTTCGCATTTTGCAGCAAGTAGTTCGGTTGAAAAAATGTTGCAGGGATTTTGCCACAGGGATTTTGCCTAGATTCTTGCTTTTTCACGGCATTGGTTGCAAACCCTAGCTTGTTCTTATCATATGCTTCTTGCAAATGTACTGGAAGTCTCTCCACATCCTGGCTTTGCGTGTGGATATCTTCCCATCATTTTATGTCACATCCTGGCCAGATGCCTCGCCGTAGAATCCTGACACGTTTGCAAGGATCGAGTCTTTCCAACCACTAGCTGCTGCTTCTTCTTAAGGTCTAGTCCTGTTGCTGTTAAGGGCATACTTTCAGCAGTGCAATCCAAGTTCCTGCAGGCCACTGTTGCCAGCGCGAAACACTAGCCCGTGAATCCGCGTTGGAACCGCATAGAGAGTCACTACTGACCTGATGATCACACGAAAATTAGTGCCCCTAGTAGCTGAAACTGAGCCAAAACGGTCGACATTTGGTGGGGAGGTAGTAGATTGATGGCTAGGATCCACTTCCCCGGTTCGAAGGCGAAACGCTAACTCTCTTAGACGCCTAGTCTCCCTCCTTGGGAACAAGCGAGTGAGAACCGAGTTCAAAACTCAGCCACGGCTAAAGTCCAACGCAAGTCCAAAGTTGGCTGGCTGAGCTACACCGGTCACGATCAACTTTCAAAAGCACCTTGACCCTTTGCCTATGTTGAGTCTGCAAATGCCAACAAGCAAGCGTGATTCCTTCCCTGAGGCGCTTATGCAAAGCTACTCCTTACTCTTCACTCGCAGACAGGGCTCCAATCCGCCTGCCTCCGCATGCGCATACCTGCAAAACCGAAGGAAGCAAATGGGAGGAAGAAGATGGAATTTGTCGCGTTTGGTTCTCTATCAGGATCCCATGCCATCAGCAGGAACATCCTCAAGCAGATGTAATTAAACATCATAGCAATTGGACTGGATCGTGTAACAAACCTTACTTCATTTGTCTGCTCACAATTAAATTGGATCGAAAGAATCAAGCAACAAGATGACGGCGATCCAGCCATGAAAGTAAACCATACTGAAATACCGAGTGTTTCTATCAAAGTTTGCATGCCAGTGCCCAATACTGCCACCAAGAAGAGCTGTCAATGGGTGATCGTTTTGGCTAAGATGCACTGCGGCCGTCTGAGTCTGCCTCAGGACAGTGTCCTTTTCCTCTGGCTCCCTGATCAGCCTTCCGCGGCCGGACGCGAGTCGTTGGCACAATCCCCTAGAATTCTGTCAACTACGACCAACACGAAGATGTCAAAGCAATGCCGAATATACAAGAATTGGTTAACAAGAACGTGCAGAAAAGCCAACAGGAACAAAGCAACCATCTGTTTGTGTCCAAAGCTGAAAATGTAAAGAAAAATCGCTTGAAATAGGCGACCCTATGTTTGCTGACTTGTTTGCTTTGAAGCCACAATACACCTGCTGATGCGTGCAACATGTTAAGCTCAGACACATCACATTTTGAAACCCGTCGGCATCAACAAATGCAGGATGTACAAGACCAAGCAACATGTCCGACACATCCAGAGAACGTCTAACCCACCACCCACCTCTGCACCAGAGGCCGGCAGTCTGAACCTGCAAAGTGACAAATGCTGGGGTCGCCTTGACCTACTCCATGCAAAGAGGCGGCATGAGTAAGCTGTGTGGTTTTATTGTTGCAAGAAACATCCATGAGCCTGATTAAGTTAACGACTTTTCGGAGCGTGCATAGGAATGGTTAACAAGGCTCAATATTTGTACGATTCAAATGTACGATGTTGAGTATCCTTGATTTGTATCACTGCCAAGCAAACTTGCCAACAAGAATTAGTTGCCACTCACCAAATGGAATCACCTGCCTCCACACTCAGTGATGCAACTCGACGAGGAGCCCATGGGACCGCGCACATACAATGAACGGGGGAGAAGGCAAACTATAGAATCGTGGTGTGATTGAATTGCTTCCGGTTTGGATATGGTCTGAAAAAACTTTGCAAGCCATGCTGGCAAATGATTGCATAATGTTTATCAATACGGCTAAAACAACTAGCTCCATTTGCGACCATAGATTGCCAACGGACGATCCGCTGTTGAAACAATTTCGTTCAATTGAGCAACACCCTCGAGTGCCCACGTACCACGCAACCAAAATAAACCTGTGTGTGCTGTCGACGAATGACATGGTGTTTTGTTTTGTGCATAACACAAACCATGCGTGAAACTGTTGTGAATTGTTCTCATCTAGCACTGCAGTGCGCATTCATGGTTGTGAGTTGCAGTCAGTCACCCTTACATGACGATGACAACAGCTTTGATGTTGCGTAATAAATTGTCGTCCTTACATGTTCAAATTGTCTAGAAAGATTGTCTCCAACGGTGTGGGAATTTGCACGTCCATAATTAAGGGAGGGGTATTTGGTTTTTAGTCTCTTTTTTGCATTTGGCTTCTTGGCTTCTTGGCTTTTCGGCTTCTTGGCTTCTTGGCTTCTTGGCTTCTTGGCTTTTTGGCTTCTTGGCTTTTTGGCTTCTTTTTCGCTGGTTTATGCGGCTTTTGGTGGCTTTGACTTTTTGCATCCTCTGCTTTCCCAGTTCCTCTCCGCGCTTTTGGCTTTTGACCCTTTCATTGGTTTTTGGCTTTGGCTTCCCGCATCTTCGGCATCAGCAGTTCCTCTCCAGCAAGTGTTCTTTATATTTGTCTGCACGTATGTATGTCTGCATGTATGCACTTCTTCGAACATCATAGGGCCCCCCGCCACCAACCCCGCCGCTACTTTTTAGACCTTTTCAAGAGTTTTGATTGCACCCCTAGTTGAATCATCACTTCTTCGAACATCATTGGGGGCTGTCCCCCTCCCAACCCCCTGCTACCTTTTAGATTGTTCGCAGAGATTTAATTGCACCATTTGAATCATCACTTCTTCAAACATCATGGGGGGGCTGCCGCTCCCCCAACCCCCCGCTACTTTTTAGATATCTTGCAGAGAATTAATTGCAGCCGTATTTGAATCATCAGTGTTTGAGCGTCCAATTTTGCGAGAAAATGCTGTAAAGTACGACATTTAATGTAATCTAGGTAATCTATGTATGTCTGTATGTGTAAACTTCTTCGAACATCAAAGGGGAAGCCCGCGCCAACCCTCCCGCTGCTTTTTATTTTCTATTGCCCTTTCTTGAATCATTGCACCCCTAATTGAATCATCCTTTTCGAACATCATTCTGGGGGGCGGACGCTACTTGTTTGATTTTGTACAGAGATTTGATTGAACCCCTATTTGAAACATCACTTCCTTCGAACATCATGGGGGGGGGGCGCCCCCCCCCCCCAACCCCCCACTACTTTTTGGTTTATCTGCAGAGATTTAATTGCGCCCCTATTTGAATCAGCACATTTTCCAACATCATCGGGGGGCTGCCGTCCCCCCAACCCCCCCCCGCTACTTTTTAGACTTTTGCAGAGACTGAATTGCACCCCTATTTGAATCATCACTTCTGCGATCATCATACGGGGGGCTGCCAGCAAGCAGTGGCTTACCCCAACCTCATCATTGTATACTCCCCCCTATGGTTTTCACCCCATTTAATAACTGCCCCCTAAATCAACCATACCAAAACCATAACGAGGTCTGGGTAAGACCCTCATAGACAAAACCCACCAAACAACAAACCAAACAAAAAACCAAACAACCGACCATACAATAGACTTTTACAAAACAACTTACCAACGAACGAAACAGCCACCGCCACGCCGCGCCGTGTTCCACGACATCCTCTTCTTCATTGTTGGGGCACGCCTTGCATGTTTATTTTGCTGAGCCTGTGTGTGGGCATTTGCAAGGCAGTTGATGCAGTGTGCATGTTAAATGTGTCGGCATGTCCTTTCTTTCACTCTCACAATGGATACAATTAGTGTATCCTGCCTGTAGCCAGCGTGATTGTGTAGTGCATCCTGCTTGCGCAATGACATCCCTTGTCTTTGTGATGTCGGATGGTCACCCACGTGCATTGGTGCTCACCAGTGGCGAAGTGATTGATGTGTCAAACTTGTCGCCCTATGACATCACCGCTGACACGGAGCGGTTGAGGCAAGCCCTTGGTAAGATGACAGTTGCGCAGATACTCACAACGCTCGGCAACTTGGGCTTCAATTCGCGGATGCCCCATCAATGCCTTTGTTCAGAACTGGGAGACGGTGCAAAACAGGGCTCGTGATGTCGGTGGTCTTACTGGGCTTGGTACTGCATCCTCCACAGCGCCTACTGCATCCACAGCCACAACTAAGCCATTCAGTGGCTGTGGATGCAAACTTGGCGAAGACACCACAGACACGGCGCATCAGAGCCAGAGTGATGAAGAGGGTGTGTATTTTGGCACTCCCTTGCGGTTGATTTTGAAAAGCCCGGATTTCCCCGCTCACTATGTCATTGAGTGCCACACGGGCGATACTGTCCTGATGGTGAAGAACAGGCTGATGAGTACAAAGATGTCAGGTGATAGCGAGGAGGATGTGATGTTGGGGTCTTCCTTCGTGGAGATGTTCACCAAGGATGGTGTCCAGATGAATGACTTTTCCCTGCTGCGCGAATACTTCCATAATACGCAATGGGCAGAGGCAACCGTGAAGTTTGAGAAGGACACTGCGAAGATGTCCCATCTTGCCCTCAACTTGTTGGCAGGTGGGGTGATGCGCGCAGTGTTGAAAGAGGGACAACTCGCTGATGGCAAGCACTTGAACCAAGAAGCCGACGACACCAAGGGGTGCCTGACCATCAAGTGCAATGACATGAAGTTCTACTTCTACTACACCGAGAAAAACACCATCAAGGATGTGCTTGACATCCTTGCGGATGAGTATGGTCTGGCATGTAGTGCCCTCGGTGGAGCATTCAGGTTGAAATACCTGTCCTCCGCTTCCTTGTTTGAGCCGTGGGAACCCATCCATGCCACGGTTGGGGAGACACCGTATGCGGAGTTGGTGGTGTCAATCAAAGGCGGTGGCAAGGTGCTCAAACCAGACAAGCAACAGAAGAAGACCCGCAAGACAGTCATTGATGAGAAGAAGGGCTTTCTTGAAGAGTGTGCCAAGACAGCAAATGTCTCAATGTCAGACACTGTGGGCGAGATGGTGGAGATGGCGAAGCGGTCATTGTCCGACTTGTATACCAGATGCCACGGGTGTGCTGAGGGCTTTGCTCAACAGTGTGCCAACGGAAATGCTCGGCGACAACAAGAACACCAGCCCTTTGATGAAGGCATACCGTGATGCCCATGGTGATTACCGCATCCAAGCAGTGGGCGACATTGTGATGAGAGCCAACTACGGACGTCTCTATGACCTACATGCCGAAATTTGTGGTTTGGTCGAGACTTGCGAATTGACATGGGACATCATCATCAATCAGTGCTTCTTGCGCGCGGACACTGCCTTTGACTGGCAGTCATTGAAGCGTTGCATTGAAGATGCAATCCTCATCAGGGCAAGCCGCGGGAACTGAAACAATCAGTTCGTCATCAATCAAGTCTCGGTAAGTGCCTTACTGGTAAATGTTTTACCAGCCCATTGTCACGGTAAATGATTTACAGGTAAATGTTTTACTGAACGATTGTCATGGTAAGTGTTTTACCGAGATTGCGCTTCTTGGTTCTCACATACCTTCTCTTGTCGCTTGTGCAGTGTGGCAGAGAAAAACCCCTTTTTTCCAAGAGCATTGGTGTCATCATCTGAACTTTTCTTTCTCTCATTGATTGCACCCCCGTGCCTGCGTGACAGGTGGATGACGAGCCCTATGAGATGCGCCCTGTGACGGGCAGGGCTGGTGGTTGGCTTTTGGGGTTCTGGTCAGGTCTGGGGTTCTGGGGTCGGGTTGCTGTGTGTTTTCGCTTTGTTCGCCCGCATCTGTGTCCGCGCGGGTATTTTCTGGACTATGAGCACTGGTCGTGCCCCTGTCCGGAGCCTGTCCGGAGCTTTTTTAGGGTTGTTGTTTCTTATATTTTTATAGTAATATATAAGGGGAAACTCTCGCCAATTTTTCCTGCCCTGTTTGGTGGTTGGCAAGAGTTTCCAAATATATATCTATATATATATATATATATTCTGGTGTTTTATCTATTTTATAAACTATGGATTTCCCCCTTAAAATTCATTATTTTCAAAATGTTCAAATTAATGTGTTTTACTGTTTTGTCATTGGATGAACCTACAAATTTCAAGTTTCAACACCAACCCCAAACTCGTTTTCCTTAATCCGTCAAACTCGCCAAGATTTCACAAATCAAATCAGCTGGTATTTTATATAAATATTCCTGCTTATGCTTTACATAATTTTCACCCCAACTTTCCCGCTTTCCACTTGGTGCCCGTTGTGCAGTTTCAATATGTTTGTTATTAACCACTTTAACACAATCTTTATTACATAAACTTCGGGGTTTCCAATTGTTAAGATTGTTCCACAACCTCGTTCTTTTCCGATAATTAAACCCATATTTACAATAGTCAATGTCATTAAACCTTAACCCATTCATAAAAGACTGACTTTTCAATAATCCAGTCTGTGGGTGTTCAACAACAAAATACGGAAGACCGAAATAGTCAATTATCTCTATTGCTTTTAATACAATACGATTAGCATATTCAATGTTTCTTATTCCTGTTGTTTTTGCAATACTGTATTCTGCGCAAGGGGGCGAACTCCAAATAAATTGAAAATGATTTCTGTCAAACTGTTTGTAATCCCATTCAAGTATATCACAATTAATATCAGCATTTTTTAGATCCAACGATATTACATTAAAACCGAGCGACTTTGCAATAAGTCCAACACTGCCTGTGCCTGAAAATACTTCTAATAAACTCATATTATTAGAATGATTCAAATATTTATTATATTGTTTCATATTTACCCTCTTCGTTCTTAAACAGTTTGTAAT